CGATAAGTTCATGATCGAACTACTTATACAGTTTATAATATAAATATAGGGATGATTCCAGGTAGGGGGCTAGGGGCCACCTCCTCCAAGCACGTATTTCTGAAAAATTGTGTGTTGTTAAAAACAAAATTTAAAAAAAAAACATGTACTATCAAAGTTTTCAAAAAATTTATGACTTAGCCCCCACATCAAAATCTCTAGAGCCACTTTACTGTATACTCGTAGACTAGTGTGAACTGTGAAGTACCTATAATAAGTAGGACAGGTAATAGGTATTATTAATTAATTAAGATACGTCTATATTCCATGTTTTGATTAATCTGCAGATAAACTATAATAGTCATGTGATCAAATATCAGATTGAAAAATTCACCGGAGTGGACACTAGATAAAATAAAAAAAATGCTTACTTAAAGTATACGTACTTATATATTGGCCAGCTTACAATTTGTATATTTAAGTATATTAGTACACATTAGAGTATCATATTGAGCATTCTTTAGTTATTACTTATTTATTTCTTATACAAATGATGAAAAAATGTTTGATATAAGTTTTGTTTTATTCGTAAACCTAATAAGTTATATTAGGTGCCTACTTCTTTTATTATACAATAAAATATGCAATATGGAAATCAACAATTAAAATGTTGGGTACCTATAGGTATATGGTATTATAACCATACTGTTATAATCGCAATAAAGTATTTAGTATATTTTCAGAAGTCTTACAAGACGTACGAGTAGGTATACCATATACATAGGTATTATCTGAAAAGGTAAGATATTTATAGAAAAAAAAAAACAAAAATTGCAATAAACAAAAAGGCCAGAATAAAATGGGCTTGGGCCGTTTGTTGTTGTAGAATACTGGGCCCAATACCTCCCAGCCCATCAATAATGTTATAGATATTATCGTCATAATATCCGTGCATGAATATAATAATTGACCTTAAAGTCAAGGCCCCAATTTTTTAGTGTGTTAATTAATATTATACCTAATACCATAAGTGTACTCAATAGTAAATGTTAATACGTAAAAAACATAAATGTAAATTCGTCTTGTATAGTTTTTTTTTTTTTGCTAAAACACTACATTTCCCGACAAAATATTCTGATCTAGCCTTATTGTTCTTAGTGTCAAAAATACATCGATTATGGAGAAAAAATGAGTCCCGTAAAGTGCACTAATTCCCCAGTTAAGAAATAACTACCAATGTAAGATGGTTATTCAACCTTTTTTTTGTCTTCTATGAAATCTTAGTGTCAATATAGCCTCCTTTAATCGACCTTCTATATTCTCGATGTCACGTTTGCATTGTACATATTATACTGTAATTGTGTCTGTTCGGAGCACGTAAATCTTTACGGAGTTGATGAATTTCATTGCACAACACGAAATATACTTCATTAATATAAATCTGTTATGTTATTTTATTAATCTTGTGAAATAACATAGGAAATTAAAATATGGGTTTGTTTTCGAAACTCGTGAATTATTCAATTTCGAAACTTTAGGCGCACAAAATAAATATAATGGTTCATTAATAATTTCCATTGAATCATTGTTTATTGATGGTTAAATATAACTGAAACTGTTGGAAAACTTTGCATATTTACAGTATATACATACATATTGTGATTGGGTGTGACTACTGTGGTTCATCGACGTTTGTAGAACCTTTTCGTATAAAAATCGTGGGCAATCTAAAATACCATTGTAGCTGATATAATAGTGATATCCGACTTAGATATGAAACCTCAACAATTATAATAATAATGTTATCTCTATACTTTTAGGCAATTAAACAATTATTTCCACTTAAAAGTTTAAAAATTAAAATCCAAATTTATACCTATTGATTATAAACAAAAATAAAATAAAATTTTAAAATTCTAAATTAGAGTAAAATCTTCGAATTGTTTTAAACGATTTAACACTACTAACTGCATAGTGGCCACTTCAATGTACTTGAAACCATAATATTATCAATGTTATATAAAACTAAAATCCAAGCACCAAATTGAATTTTACTTTGAAACGGATAAAAAATAGTTGCAACTTTTTTATCTGTTCGTATATAATATATATTGTTTAGAAACTTTATTTTCACTCGAACACTTTCACTAGGTACGTGAGTTGTACTTTCGAGCAACAAATGCAAAACAGTCCACGCCTAAGTCGCACATAAATAAAATAGTAATATCCACTAAAAGCTACACAATATGTACGTCGTACGGGCATATGAAGCATATAGGTTGTTCCTTATAGACTTGGGACAACTAATATCAACAATACAGCGTGCCTAAAAAATCATAATGGGATCAAATTTGATAAACCTATAGGATGTAACTATGTAGTATGTAAGTCACCAAAATATCGACTTTCGAAAATATTTTTAAAAAAATAAAATAATGATAGCGTGAGTAAAAAAATTATCATAACTCATGTTATTAAGTGCCTAATGTTTTATTTTTCGATTTAAAATTTAAGATGATCGCTACAGTAGTTAATTTCAGGAGTAATCTTTTGATGTTAAGAAAAAGCGAGAGCAAAGGATAGACCTCAGAGAAGTAGATTTAAAACCGTTGAGAAACCTCACTTGCGCTTAAATAAGGCACATATTTTATGGTTTTATAAATGTACAGTGAATACAGACAAAGTGCATGATCCATTTAAGAGGGTACACTAATTATCTCAAAAAGTTTTACTTTTTTTGAATTTTTATTTTTTTTTAAATTTTAGATTTATGCTTTTCTAAAACTGTATGGTATTTCAATTTTTTCGAACTTATATTTATTGGCAAAACCACTGTCAACTTTTGATTTTCAAATAGAAACATATTATTAAAAAAATGTCATAGGTAAATTGATAAAAATATTTTTATGAATTTTCGCATTAAAATTTTTATTTTATGATTTGAGAGATACAGTTCCTCTAAGTTTGGTGGTTTAAGGAGGTGTTATAGTCGGTAGAGCTACAAATATCCAATAATCCAAATAAACAGTTTTCTACTAATTATTCGACAAAATGCGGCATGTCTATACGAAGTCGATATGCCAATAAATGATTTGGGTTCAAACTACAATAGTTATCAGTCCAGTGGCGCCGAAATCCATGCTAACTTCGGGCCATGGCCCGACCACTTTTTTTAAAAATGTGGCCAGACGGCCACATTTTATTTACATTATAACTTTATTATGGAGCATGAGTATATTAAATCCACGTCACTGTAATTACGAGTAAATATATATTAAGGCAGGTAGGTACTTCTATATTAAATAATTAATATTTTGAGGCCGCGAAGTTCCTCGAAATGGCCCCACCACATTTTCAAAACCTCGACGCCACTGGTTATCACTCATTAATAATTGTTACTTTGGGTTGAACGGTATCGAATTCATCACTTATAGCTCCTGGTCTTTACAAATGAATTAATAGTATAAACAAACCACCTTAAACCACCAAACTTTGAGGAGCTGTATCCACCTATCTCGCAAACGAAATAACAAAAAATAAAAATTGTAATGCTAATATTCATAAATAAAATGGTTTCATGAATTTATGACCTTTTTATCATATGTTCCCATTTGAAAATCAGAAGTTGATAGTGGTTTCACCAATAAATAATATAAGGATGAAAAAAATTTTAATATTATACAGTTTTATAAAACCATAAATTTAAAAAATTATAAAAAAAAGTTAATACTTTTTGAGATAATTAGTGTACCACCTTAAATAGATCACCCAGTATATTTTTCCAATATCTGCCGAGTTAATGCAGATAAAATTTATTTGTATAAAATAACAATGTCAGTTTTAAGAGAGGATGCTCCCCACGCATTTGTTGTCTCCGTCTTACCAATTTACGACATAGCAAATGTTCATTCACTGGTTTAAATAGTGTGCCGTTAGTTTTGATATTAGAGTGTGTTATAAGACTTTTAGGTAAGTAAAAAGACAAGGAAGGTACTGGAGAACTGGGCTGACCGCCTGATGGCAACTGTGGTTGCACTACGCCGCATGCGATCAATCATATTTTTTAACTTTAATTAATTAAAACAATCTCATTAGTATAAAAACAAATTATTAAACAAATCCACACAAAATTTGAAGAAAAAAAAGTGGAAAAAAATGCAAAAAATCACCGTCCATCCCTGGTGGGGATCGAACCCACGACCTTTGGATTAGAAGTCCAACGCGCTATCCTCTGCGCTACAGGGACATCTGCGTGCGTCGAGTAAAATGAGACTATTTGACTGCAACGTTTAATAATTGTATTTTTTATCATTATTATCATACAACTTTTTCTATTTATGTAGTTTCTTTTCCCTATTACATCGCGCGCTAATATTTCATGTAGTCAACCAACAACCAATCAACCGTACAATCAACTTCGTAATTTAACATCACATTGACACATCCACTAGCTTTGTTCACGAATAACTCTTTCTGCATAGCAAGTAACAATTAGATGTCACAAATGACAAATCTTGAGTCGTGTTTCGGTAAACCGGTTAGACCACATGAAAATAGTACATGCTAGACAAAATCTACCTATGAGAAATCTAAAAAATTAATGTATAAAAGATTTTCTTTAAAGATCTTGCATGCTACACAGCATCTTGGTCACGTCTACCTAGGACTAACTAGTAAGGAAGTACCTTTCACCTAACTAACAATTGTTTCTATATTCTCTATTCTATATTTCTGTGTAACGTAACCAATCTTCTAAGTACGAACTACTATATTATACCATAGTACCATACTATGATAAAGAAAAGAAGTATGTCAGAAATTCGTGACGTACCTACCATTTCGTCAATTGATGCACCAGTGATGATGGAGTCACCAGCGGACCAATGAGAAACAGCGGAATATTTACGTCACAGTACAAAGACAAGATAACGTCAGATAGTACAAGGTCCATGGTGGTAACGTTGCAGAATTCTGTGGTAACACATTAACGTTTACTTATCAGTTATCACTTTATCAGTTTATCAGGTAGCCGCGTGAATATGTTTTTGTTTACGTTTTCTGTTGTTTCCGGTTTTCTACAACAACTTTCTAGTTACTACTTACAAGTTACGACTTTACAAAATAGTAAATAAAAGCACATTACCAAATACTCTTACTGATGCCCGACTTATATCTATCGAGTATCGACTACTGACTAGTGATTATCCAAATAAAAAGGACACTTAAGAGTAATATAATTATATTATATTATACTAACTTTTCCATAGTATGTTATATTTTATATGCAATTTGGGTCTTATGATGTAGCTATAAACTACACTGACCGAGACGTTATAACTACATTTTGGAACTCATTTACAAGTTTCCAGTGATACTGTTATTATTATTATACTTGCCTAACTTAATCTACCACAATATGGACATTGATAAACGAAAAAATGATTTTTTAACTTCTCACAATACCTGCTCCGAAATTGCAGACATTCAAAGTAAATTTTACTCTTGGTATGCCGTTTTTGTAGCTGAATCGTTACCTACTTGATTTGTTACATGTTCATTTATTTTTATTTTGTTTTACGCCTTTGAAGGTTTGAAGATAAAGGGATCATTAACAAGCTGCGAGCACACATCAAAGAACAGATGATCACTGCTCTAGAAGACAGCCCTACTTGGAATACTAGCAAAAGAAATGTCACCTCCCCAAAGATTCAGGCCATCAACCTCTTAGTTGCTGATTTTCTAATGAAACAAGAAAATTTGTTCGCATTGTCCGTGTTCATTACGGAAGTAGGTTTCATTTTGTACATTTTGTGATATTACACAATTACGCATACTTACATTATAATATAATTGTATTAAATTTCATCTAAAAGTTTCATTTTTGTCTAGGTACCGTTATTGTGCAATTTACATGAGTTCTCTTCCTATGTAAATAGTTTGGGCGATAGCATTCAAAAAATTCCAGTCACCAAGCCTAATTTTCAATTAAATGATGTTCAAGATATTCTAGAAGCATTAGGCATTCAACCGAGTTCTGATATCTCAGAATTGACGTGCCAATACTATTTTAATGAAAAACAAAATCATTCATTGTTGGCTTGCCTGTTCAAATCTATCTCTACTATAACAAATAACCTCAGGTGTCAAACTATCATAATACTATAATTATTTTTTTTTTTTAAATGTAAAATAATTTTAAAACATTCAAAATTACACTGTACCCAATACCTGCTAGTAATTTCTCTGATAATATTTATAAAAACAATTTTAATTTTACAACATTAGTAGATGTATAATTATTGAAAATTTAAAATGACGAAAACCCTATCAAAAACTAGAAATGTTTATCGTCTTCACTTTGTCCAGATAGTTAAATTATATTTACACATATAATAAGTAAAATATCAACTGCTTTTCACAGTATGTTAATAATTTCCTTTATTGCAGTCAATACAATGAAGTTAAAGTTAACCAAAACTGTAAGGAAACAAACAAATCTAACAATATACAGAGTAATACTTATGAACATAGATTAAACAGTTGGCTTGTAAGCGTCGAGGATATCCTGTGTTCATTCAATTTAAACGAAGGACAAAAAAATACTTTGAAAATGTTATTAAAAAAGTAATAATATTTAATAATTACTATAAAGCATTATTCTTAACAGTTTTAATTTCCAGATACCACCAAAATAACAATGCCCAAGAAGCTACTGTGTACAAAGAACACTTAAAAAAACTAGAAAAACAGAACAAGGAAATGGTTGAAAAAGTTGCCGATGTAGAACAAATGCTGGCTGCACATTTTCATTCTCGTGATAATAAATTTATGTTTCAAAAAGAAGAAGTAGAATATGCCACACAACAGCTCCGTTTAGAACAACAGCAGCTCTATCAATTAATTAATATATTTGAAGTAAGTGAGCAATTTTAATTTAAAAAGCAATTAACTAGTTAATTGTAAGTAAGTCATGATATTCTCTGACTTTCTACAGACTTTAAGCCAGGTTCACATTACTTCACAGCTACGTTGTGTGTCATATAGTGTCAATCAAATCACATTCTGATTGGAGATGACTTTTTTGGTACCATGTACCAAATTGTAACTGAATATACCAAGAATTGACTACAACTTAACTTTTGAAGTAATATGATGCCCAGTTATAACCATAGTTATGCTCGATACAAAAGACAACGTAGTTGTGAATCCAGCTTTAATATTCTATGTGATAGAAATTGAAACAATTTTTTTTATTATTTTGAATTAAAATAATATTGCACTTTTTGATTTTAAATTAATTAAATTTTAAATTGAATTCTTATTTCTTATGCTATAAAATATTTTACTAATTTACAAAACATTATTCAAATATTATTTATCTTAATAAAATAAATAAATAAATTATAAAACTTCATGGTACAGGAAAAAGAAAAGTCTATGCAAGAAAAATTGAATAAGTCAGAAGAAGAGTATAATAAAAAACTACAAGATATTGAAAATCAAAAATATGAATTAAAATTAAAAGAAATGAACATTTTGAGCCATGAAAAAATGTTAGTATTATTGATACTTGCACCTATAAAATTATAAAATATGCTTTGACAATAATGGATGCTTTCAGGTTAAAAATGGAATCACTGAATTGCATAAATGAAACCAAAATTAGCGAATCCAATCAAATTAAACGGCTACAAGAACAAAATATTGATTTGGCAAAACAATTAGGGGAAATAAAATCTAAACTTGACAAGCTTGAAGGATATAAGAAAATTGAGCTGACATGTTCAAAAGAAGTTGATAACAACCCTCAAAGAGATTCTTTGTTGGTTAGTTAAAATAGTATTTGAATATTTTATAAAAGTTTGAAATTATTTTTTTTATTTACAGGATCGAGAAATGGTAAAAAAATTGCAAAATGACAATGATGAGTTGCGTGAATTTATAAAAGTTCAGCGACAAAGAATTGAAGAATTGTCAAATAGAGCATCAAATTTGGCGAAACAAATTGAAAAAACTCATCAAGTACCATTAGCTAAGACAGACTATGAAACTAGAAATGTAAAAAAAAAATTGTGCTTTGTTGACAATCCCAGTAAAAACAACCATTATACCAACCAAAACATTTCTTCAACAACCACAGATTATTCAACAACTGTGTTAGATTCTGATAACCTAACAGAAGATGACATAATACAAGAAGCCGAATCCAGACTGAAAACTTTAGAAATTAATACAGCAAAAGTAGAACAAAACTTGAAAAATTTCCAAATCAATCGTTCACGCCACAGCATAGATTTCAAAGCAATTAGAGACAATAGTAAGTCATACAACAAAATTTGTTCAAACTTTTCAGACGACTCCGATTTAGATGCATTGAAACGCAGCAGTAATAGAATTAATTTAAAAGAGCTTGCCAACAAGATTGGTTATCATCGATCTATCAGGCGATCTATTAACCATTCACAGTCTGAATATGATACAAGCCCTGAAATCTTACGAAATACCAAATTACAGGATTATACCAATTCTACCAATATTTCGCCAATAAAAATATTGTCATCCAGTATTGGAGAAAATTGTGTGCACAAAGAATCACCTGTAAATAAAGTTAGTTCAAGAACTGATTTTCCAATTAGCAAATCTAATTTTCAAACTGAAGTTTCACTGAATAGATTTAATATATCTACTCAAATGCCAAAAGAAAACAAATTACAAAATGAATCAGATGCAAAAAACAGGCTCCTTCCTGACACTAACAATGATGTTCAAAATAATGATAATGTTGACATACAATCGCTTAAACATACAGAAAAATTTGATTCACCACATAAAAGAACTTCAGTAGAACGAGGTAGTTCAAATGGAGTGGATACTGTGTCAATGAGTAAAAAATTACCAGAAAGTGATCACTCAATTTCATTTGGTAGCAATAAAACTGATAAATCTTCAGACTTTTGGGCCTAATAGTAATATTTTTTATTTATTTTTATATAAAATGTCAAAGTCTTATGATTTATTTTGAACAAGCATGTTTACATATGCCACAGATATCAAGTCTTTTTCTTCAACTCCCATATGAGACATCAGGTCTTCTGCAATAGATTGTCCATCCTCGACTGTTTGGCTATCGTTCAAAACTACCTAGATGAATAATAATAAGAATCAATAAATTTATTTTTTAATGACATATTCAAAAACTTACTTCTAATTCCACAAAATCCCCAAGCCCATCAACCCTATCAAAATGCACTCTAGTTTGGCCAACCAGTATCAAATTTCTTTCTTTTTTCACGACTCCCCACGTACCTAAGGCATTTGTAAGTAATTTTTCTATATCTTCATTTACTTGGCATTTATTATAAGAACTTAACTTTGGTCCAGTGCTTTCCTCGCGGTCATAATAAATTAACTCATTAAAAAGTCCCTGTGAACATGATAAATACATTATAAGTATGTAATATTTTATACAAATACAACAATTATCTTTAGTCAATTAAACTATTAATGTTTTGATTTACATGGTATATTATATTGTTACTGTTATACCCAGAGTCGTACATTTTTAATTTGTGGAGGGCTGGGGAAAAGTACTCACTATTTTAGTATTTGTTGTTTAGGTAAACACCTTTCATTTCTATTTGGAAAATTGAATATTTAAAGATTATCACAGAGATAGAACATTGTCTAGGATAACATATTATGTAATTATTATAATATTTAGAGTTTTTTAACACTTGTATAGAAAAATCCCAACATTTTTCATGTGTACATTCAAATAACTACAGTCAAAATTATTTATTTCCTACCATTTGTCTGAGTTTCAATTTGCCACATTTACCTGCCGGCAAATTGAAAAACGTGTCTTTTTGTCTCATGACCACGGAATCCTGGCGGACGTCGTAGGCGGCATTCGACTTCAATGCTAAAATGCGCTGTTTGACGGCCTCCAAGTCTTCGACACGCGCTTTGATCTCTACGTTTCTGGGCATGATTTCGTTTAGCAAGTATGTTTTACTGCGCGACAAATCTGATGAATTCAACAACACTTGAATCCCGAGTTCTTGTCAACTTATGACAAAAATGCCGGGAAAATTTAAAGACGGCAAACTGTTCAGTGCTCACAAGTTCACGTTCACCTAAGTATAGTAACTGAATAGTAAGACGAGTAGGCACCTTTTTTTTACCTACATCAGTTCTCGATAGGTATTACACTACATTAGTACTCGTATTATTTATTATCAACTCGAGGCCCGTCTTCTATAATTGGCGGGAAACTATCTCCGTATCAGTAGGCCGTTAGGAAAAAAAAGAAATTATTCAGCAATGAATCAAGGTTTTCGAGGAAGAAATTGGAGTGTAACGATACGTATCGGGTTGATTTGGAGCGTTCAGAAGTTACACGCGCAATATACAAGTGATACGTACCAGATTGCTGTCGGTACGCGTAACTATTCCCTATTGATACGTATCGAATATTTCTTCTTGAAAATCTTGGATTAAGGATTTATTTAAATATAATTTAAAATAAATACGGAACAGTTAATACATTACGACTTTAACCTATTAAGCCAAGAATTGAGTAGTTTAAACAAATAATATATGGATGAATCACTGAACTGTATAGTGTATACTAGTATACAGTTCAGTGGTATGAATACGTGGGGATGCCAGGAAAAACCTATACTATAGTCGTGACGCGGCATGTTCTCTCGTGAAACAGAGTATATTATTAAACATTTTTTAAATATAAAATTTTGTGCCTATTCTAGAACTAATTTTCCTTCCGATTTGTTTACAGTCGTAGATAGGTAGATCAGTAGGTGCTAAATATGATGTTTTGTTTTTATTTAAACATTTTGTTTTATTTTTTTTTAATTATTATTATGTCATTGGCAATCTGACATGAACATGCTTCCGGCACGGCATCTCTAATATGTACCGTACATATCCTTTTTCTTTTTAATTTCAAAAGGACAAGGCCCAATCAAAGACATATATATCTATTTATTGGCCCAATTAATACAATATTTGAACAAGTATTATAACCACGAACTAAAATATCTTAGTCCACGATATTAAGTTAATACTGTAAACAGTATAAACTAATAACAATTGATCGATTATGATTATTAAAAATAAAGAAATAATACCAAAATGGATTGAGAATCAATCCACCTCGAATAATACATTTGAATGTAGTACAATTACAGTTAGACTGCTGTCTAGGATGGAACATTTTTTAGTCCATTTAAGGGGCGGTAAATTTATACTGGCATATTATTATTGTATATATTAATTGTATCAATAAATAAATAAAATTGATTTTATTATATATTTTAATTATTATTATAAGCTTCTGTTAAAACTTTAAAAACAATTGTTACAGCTCAAAATTGTTTATTGTTTTCGTCAATTAGTTGAAAAATAATATAAATAATTACAAAAATATTTAAGGTTAACTATGAACAGGTAAGTAGAGCAGGTTATGAAGAAATGATTTTCAAATCTCCAATCTAGGAGAAAGATATAAATGTATTAATCAGTAGATTATTATCATTAATAAAATTATGAAAAAAAAATGCAAGAATGCAATTTATTTTTATAACATAATATATTATTATTATTACTATTACATAGTAATCGGTAAAAAACAACAAAGTTATAATGTTATTATAAGTAGGTAATATTGTGTACCTATACAGCGTATAATTATTATAAGTTATACATTATTATACTGTCATACTGTCCATACTGATAAAATAAATAAGTATAATCGCCACAATATATTATATATGAAGAATATTCAAGTGGGGAAAGAGATACCCCAAATGTTTTAATCCCTTAATAGTATAAACTATTCAATATCTATGATTTTTTTAATTTATTATTAATTTGTATTTTTGATATTTTTTTTGCTTTAAAATTTTAAGAGTGGGGACATTAAAATCCAGGAATCGAACTTAAATTCAAAAGATATTAATTAATATATTATATTATATATTTATATTCTTAATAAAATTAAAAAATATGCAGAAGAGAAAAAAAACAGTTTTAAATTTGTGAAACTGCATAGCATTATTAAAAAAAAATTTTTTTTAATTAATAATTATTTGACTAATTGTTGATACATTATAGTTTTATATTTGTTCAAAACAAAAATGTTAAAATTAAATATATAGGTAGCCAGGTAGGAACTGTGGTTAGAAAATAATAACTATTAAATACTCGTACATTTTTGTGTTACAGTTACACATATGTGTCCCAATCTCCGGGTAAGTACCCTTAAAGGTAGATACACTAAAAATATATATTTCATGTGTGGACCAATATACCCGGCCAATAAAATGAAAACCAACTTTGTGTACTTGTGTACCAAGCAGATAGCAGTTGGACGTTTTTTAAAGACATTTCAATCGCAAAATTATGATAGCAAGGGATTAAGAGGATGTCACACCCGTATGTGTTGTCCCGTCTTACAAAATGTACAACATAGCAAAAACTGTTTTGCACGAGAAAACTATTTTCTCGCACCATATTTGTTGTAGAACTACCAAATTTTCACAACACGTAAAGAAGAACTTTATCTGTGCAACAGCGTATTTTTTTTTTATTACACTATCCAATTATTTTTTATAGCAAATGGAAAAAAACAAAAAAACAAAATGTTTAGAAGCAAATAATTTTTATTGTATTTATGTTATCCAAAATATAGGCACGCTGTTGCATAGATAATGTTCTACTCTATATGTTCAGAAATTTTGGAGCCACTACTACAAACACAGAATGATAAAACAGTTTTTGCTATGTTGTACATTCGTAAGACGGAGACAACACAGCGCGTGTGACGTCCTCTTAAAACTAGAGCATTAAACTGTAAAGTTAGGTTTTGACCATACGTCCTGTTAAAAAACCAAATTGCACCACCTGTAAAGGTAAAACCAGTATTATAATCGAGCCCTGAACCACAGAATAGGTGAATAGCCAATAGTTGGACTGGATGGAGGTATTTTCGATTTTAGAATATCACGGTGTGGTTTGAAAACTACCGTTGTTATAACCGAAATTATAACTAGCATGCGGGCCACTCTATTGCAAATTGTAGGTAATTAGCAAAAATACCGTATGTATTTTTATAACTTAAAATTTATATTATCATAATAATTACAAACACAATTTTTAAAATAGATGTATAATTTTCATGGGTTAAAACACTTGAAGAGCACGTCTTTTAAACTCACCGAAAATAATAATTACCGTGGTAGTGTTCTCAGAATTTGCTAGGCATAACCGGTAATACCGTAGATACCTGTAGTAAAAAAATTAAAATACTGGATACCGGTATTAAAATTTGAAATACCTCCAGCGCACTCAGCAGCTATCCAGCCGATGGATATTATTTGCACTCCATGTCAAGCACAACTCGCAAATATATGACTATCAACGGTATAAGGCTCGTTAAATCAAATCCATCTATGGCTGGCTGGTAGTGCGGACTGAGGGTCATAGAATTATAGAAATTCATACGAATACGCTGGTAAAATGATATAATATTGAAATATTCTATAGCCGCTTTATGTACGCAGCTGCTGTGGTGTAAATAACACATTAAAATATTATACACACTAATTAGTTACCTACAGAGAGTTTACTGCGCATCGTACAGGTAAAGTTCGTACTCGAAAATATTTTTTTCGTGAATCAAAATAAATTCTATACTATATCCCCGAAGTTACCTTGTCGGCGAATTCAATACCTACCTGCCTTTTTACCGAAATAAGTCGCGGGCCATGTAATTTACATATTATATAAATTACAGATAAACCTTACCCGAATAACTGCAGCCCGCGGCCGGTATAAAATAATATTGTTTTAAAACGAAATGGCTACTCAGATAGAAGAAACTCTGAAGAGAATTCAAACCAGTGACGGTGTCATCGGCTTCGTAATAGTTAATAACGCTGGTATGCAATCTGCGGACATCGACAGTGGTCGACACGCACCCGGAAGGTCGGGTCACATAGTTAACTGTACTTAATAATTGTTCGTAAAATGTTTTTTTCAGGCATCCCGATTAAATCCAACATGGACGATGCAATGTCCGTCCGGTACGCTGGATTAGTGCAGCAGCTAATCGCAACATCACAAACCGCGATCAGAAAAGACGACGCGACTGATAAACTGACGTACCTGCGGTTGCGTACCAAACATAACGAGATCATAGTCATACCAGGTAAATGGTTAAAACAGATCTGAGATCGGGGACGGCTTGAACCACCGGGAAATTACCACTGGCCCGGACAATTGTTGGCTGAAATACTTTTACTATTGTAAAAGTTTTTGGTACAATTGTAAAATACTCAGCACCCACTATAATTAATTTAAAAAATTTCTCTATCTGCATTTTGATTTTCCCTGGTTTTCCCTACAGGTATACAAAATCACAGGGGCGGTTCCAAGCGAGTGGCCAAAGGTCTTTTGCATAGGTAGAGCTAGTGTTTGATGTATTATTTTTTCTCAATATATAATTACTCTTATTATTTCACTAAAATACTTAGGTATATTTATTTTTTAACGCAAGAAAATATATAAGAATATTGAATAATGATTGTAGGGGGGCGGGGCTAAGTCCATCTAAGCCCTTTTGATCTCCGACCATGGTCTTTAGCTCCCCCTCCCCCTTTGTAAATATTAAATCGTAATAAATAGTCAAAAAGGTAGACCATACTTTAGTGTAATGTAATTTAATATTTTTTAAGTAAGGTACCTATAAATATTTATATCTATAACACAGTCGTTCATCTCCTGCGCATCAGCCACCTGCGATTGGGCGGACGAGTCTATTGCCCGCAGACAGGTACGTATCACAGTATAATTTTGGAGACGTTGGAGTAGTCTGTTCGTCTGTAACTGGACTCCTCGAGTATAATGCGCCCAAGTCGACGTGTTCCGTCCCGGGCCCGGAAATAACTTCGTAACAGCCGAGCGCGTCTACACGTTCCATTTACGGCGCAGGAACAGACACGACTGATGTGGACGTGGTCGGCATGTGTGACAATAATGTACTAGTGGGCAGTGGGTTGGCGGGTATTTTTCAATAAGCTAGTCCAGTATTCTCGCGCACACACTCACAAACTCCATCAGATCCGCGCAGCACATTAACGGGGCTGAACGAATCTGTGTAGCCAGTCGACGGGTTTCGAATAAATCGTACGGGCGAATGTCCGTGTACCTACGACGTCTTCAAACTCTTGCGAAAATGAATCGTAAATTCGTCGTCATCCTGGTCCGCTGTCGGTGTCACGGTTTCCTCCGACGTCGCTCGATCAGCATGGTTGTAGCCGCTGTTTTGGGCGAAGCACTATCTCGAGAACTTCCAACGGGCAGCGTATGAAAATGATGAGAACCAAAGTCGCCATCATGCTGAACACGTTGTCCGCGTGTCCGTCCTTTCGTCCAATACTTTGCACAGACCAGTCATTTGTTCCGCGTCTTTCGTTAGGTCCTTGCGTTTATTTCCCGTTGAAAAAACCGATTGACTTTCACTGCTTTCGCGTTCATAAATTTGCGGTCATCATATATGGATTGCCAATTTTTCTTTTTTGCTGTTCATCAGTTTCCGCTTTGTCGAACCAGTCGGCCCACGTTGATCGTTTGTATTTGCTGGGGCGGGCGTCTTGAAAGTCGCTTAAGGGAACCGTCACTATGAAAGTTTGTTCAGTACATTTATTGATTTATCTTCAAAATACACGTTACTCTTTGCGTTATATGTATTATAATATACTATTACACACGTGACTTTCAAATGTAAGAACTGACAGCGACAGTGAACAGGCAGGGTTGGGCAGTATCTTAGATACAGTTGCATCTTGTATCTTGATACATTTTCAGTCAATGTATCGAGTATTTCATAAAATAATTTAATCAAAAGATACTCGATACATTAATGCGATACTTTGAAAAATTACCTAATTGTTTATAAATATTTTCACTCGCCTACCTAGTAGTAGTACATACCAACGCGACTGTTCGACTATGTTTTAGTATAATCTTAATGTATAAAATACTATAATAATATGTGTAAAAGGCGAGGCAAATTTAAATTTATACATACATACCACAATTTAATTCCAGTATTAATTAAATACGTAGTTACAGGTGATTTTTCGAAAGCTGTAGCAGAATAATAATTAATTGTGTTGTAGAATATTATTAAGTTATTAAACATGGGGTCTTCATTAACTAATTAATTAAATATACATCTAACTATGTGGAAGTAAAATTAAAAAAAAAAAACTTGTGACTAATTTTATTTCGAGTAGGTATCTAAATAGGTACTTTAAATGTAAGTATCGAGTATTTGGATACTGATTTTTGAGTATCTTGCCCATCCCTGCGCATAGGTCCCATATTTTTATATTATACGCAAATGAACAATGCTTGTTTTTGTAATAATGATAAGTGTTAATCGCATGTCGATATATTATATGCTCATATATTAAAATTACGTCATGGTCGAAAATAATTGTAGCTGGATGCTTGCTCAAATTGAATTATATTAAATTTGAGCAAGCAACCAGCTATTACTATTTTCGACATGATAACTAGATTTATGCCATTTTTCTGAAAAAAATATGTAGTCTCCCTCTCATCATTTCAGGTTTATAGTTGGTTTATCCTAGAGAGCCTTCATAAAGCCTAATTAAAGCTCTTTAGCTTATCCCACAGTGTTACTCTATGGTTTATCCACAATCCAGATAACTTTTATCGGTTTAATCTTATTGTCTTATAATATATTTATAAATTCAGTTTCACTTTTGACACCATAAGTTTAACGATTATTGAAAATTATATAATTTATTCATTCTTGAGACATGCTTTTTAATAAAAATAATAATTCTTATGTTTTGCAATTAATTTATTAAAATAATTAACTCATAGAAAATGTATACAAAATTATTTTTAGTCTTTATGTCAATTTAGTTTAAGTATATAGTATAATCATCTTAGATATTACATGAGCATGAGATAAAATAATATAAGATAATTATGTACATAACCATTTGTTTGTTACAGATAAACATTATACCATGGTGGTAATTCAAAAACCAACTGGCTCTAGATCACCAATGTAAAATTGGCTAAAAATTGCTATATTAATGTTTATAATATAATATATAAATAATTAAACAATTGAATAACGTTTAAAATAGTTTTAATTTATTAAATGTAAAAAAATATAAGTTATAATTTAATTTATCAATTAACAGATCGTTTGATTTTAAGAGGACGGTATACCTGCATGTGTTATAGTACCTGCACGGATATAACACATGCGGGTATAACATGTTCTTAATGATTTTATCCAGGAATGTCCTCAATAAACCTGTTTGCATTATAAGTGCTATTATATGGTTTAGAAATATCATTTATGTAAGTCGTAATGTGGTATGAGGATGGAAAAATTTGTAATATATTACCATAAACAAAATTCCAACAAAAAATGGTGTTATTGAACCTATCATCAACGGATAGTAGTACCACTGGTTTTGATCTTTACCAGTGATGGCCCAAATAATAACTGCAGCTACATTTTCTACCAAGAATAAACCGTAGTACCCTAAGTAACGATTTCTCGAATTGCCTTGGCCTTCACTGGGTGATAAATAGGTAAATATGTAAACGAGACCGAGTATTGTTGAAAAAAAAAACCTCATGATTCCACTTTCTTCAGATTGGTTGGATGGCATACAAAATGTTACATTTTGATATTTGAAAATCCAAAATGTCATAAGGAGCCAATGAACCATACAAACAATACCAGTTAACTGTGGCCACACTATAGCAGCTAAACTAATAGACAAAATTCGGGACACTGAAAAATAAAAATGTGTTATAGATGATGAGTATTATCATACATTTTAGATAAAATATTTTCATAATGTATTTAACAATATTATGATGAATTAAATCATTGTTGAATATAAGTTTAAAACTGGTTTTAAAATGATTACTATTATACACATTTAAAATCTAAAATCCATGTTAAACATACCTGTAATCATTATGTGCCATAAAAACTGTAATACTGTTCCTGTATTGCCTATGTTTTTTCGGTTTTCAAAAGCAATTCTTACATTTTTATGATATGAAGCCATAGCCCAAGCAATACCTATGGTTGAACTTGCAATAGATGCAGATTGATGAACAACTGAAATCAATAATAGTATATGTACTACCTATCATGAGTTACCCATTATAAATGTATACTAATATTCATACTTAAAATCATTTAAATGTAATCAAACAAAGACAACAAATATCTAGGCATTACACATTGATGAAAAATGTTAGCATACATTTAAATTATAGCTTAATAGTTTACTTTTAAGCAGTATCAATTTTTAAATAATTTAGTTTGGATAAAATATTTTAATAGAAAAAAAATACAATCATATTAAATGCTTTACCGGGTGTAGAAAAACAAACAGTGCAGTTTTGAAAGGTTAGAAAAAACGACAGAACTTACATAAATTAAATTAATTTTATTAATTGGTACATCATGCCATTTTATGCATAAGTCCTGAAAATGACTTCAAAATAATGATGGCCTCAACAGAAATTCATCGATGAGGGCAATTCCTGAAGTTTTCGGCCCCATTTTAGCATATTTCAACGAGTTCAGTAAATTTTTCTTCCTGCACTGTTTATTTTTAAACAGTTACAACTAACGTTGGTCTTTTCAAAATGAGATCGGTACAGGGGACAAAGCCAAGCCAATGTTTAGTAGGTGGCCGCCTGTACTGATCTCATTCTGAACAGATAATAATATAATATTACAAAAACCCAAAACTAAATGGTAGCTATTTTAATTTTAATATGAATAAACCTGAATAGGATATACAACTAAATGCTAGGCTTCAATGACTTTCAATAAGAATAGAAATTTACTATAAAAACTATTATTAATTTAAAGGTAAATACATCATTCAAAAAATTATTTTGAGTAAGGCCTGGTTAAAATAAATATGCATTTTAAAATGTCAACATTTTACAAATTTGGCATCTAAAAATGTTATCAGCAACAGCAACCCTGGATTGGCCTTGGCAAGCTACTGAGACAATCTTGGTGGGCCACTCAAAATATTGGCTGATGATGAGTGTTAGGCCGTAATTTTTATATGACAATGAGAAATTAGCACAAAAACTAATAGAAAATAAAATTGGATCAAATTATTAAACTGTACAGTAGCTGTAGCTATAGTCAAATGTTAGACATCCTAAAACTCGGTGTGCTGATACTTATCTTATCCAATGTTGACAATAAAAGGTATATAGTTAGAATTAAAATTACAAATAGTAATATTACTTTGAAAAGTTGAACCATGTTGTTTCTCAACCAAAACTATAAAAATTTGTAATATTTGTTGAGGGACAGCTTCTAAAAAACATTCAAAGATTCGCAACAATGACACATATGAGTCTTCTTTAGCCATTAAAGCATAGTAGTTTTTCTGTTCATCATAATTTCCTTTACGAGCAGCACTACGAGACTTTAACGCATATTTCAATACATCATAATACCTACATACAAAAAACTATATTACAACATTACAAGGCATATAAAATATTTTAAAATTAATAGTATTATTATCTATCACACAGAAAATTGTTATTGTTAACTACAGTAAATTGAAACAATATACTTAGACAGGTAAATAACAACAAATACATTTTATCAGATATAATTATGAGTTCAAACATTTTTATAAAAAACAATAAATCAACTATCTTATTTTATATTCTCATGATTACATACCTGAATACAGGAGCCATTTGAAGTATCAATAGGATTGGTAATAATAGTCGATTAGTTAGTAATTTTCGGGTAATTCTTTGCACATCTTCTTGAATAGAATAACTAAAAAATAAAACCAAAAATGAATCAAATCATTTATTTTTTAGCTTGAGAACTGTTCTAACATTTTTAAACTCATATATGTATTTATTATGGAAGGAACTGCTATAAAAATAACTGTCAACACAAAATAATTTAGTTTTCCATATCTGTAATACTGATAGGCGACATTGTAATCGATGCAAACATCAATAACATGGCTAACAATAGCTAAGACCAATGCAATTAAATCCCAATAGGAAATATTCAGATCTCTGGGGAGCTCATCTGGCTCATCCAAACCAGATTTAGATCTATTACTGTCAGCTTTGTGAACCAGATGTTTTGTAGTCGTAATGTCATCTTGATGCTGGTCCATCATATTGTTTCATTAGATCCGGAAGACTCCAATCATGAAATACCTGGCACATCACTTTAAGCGAAAATTTTTAAATACTTAAGTATACATTAGTTAAGTAAATAGTTTGGAGTTACATGATGCTTAGTGCTTATTGGCTACTGGTTAGTGCTACCTATTCAGTATTTAATATTATGTTTTGTACATTTTTATAATGTATTATAATTATAAAACAAAAAATTATAAAAATTGAAAAAACGAAAATCGTTTTAATGATAAAAATTGAGGATAGAAGTAGTGATAAAGCCATAGAGGATGGCTGATAATATAAACAGTACAAATAGTAAATACAGCCAATCAAGGTCATGTACACGATGCATACAGAGTGATTCACCAAGCATGCTCATCCCCATTTTTTCCTTTAATATATAATAATTTATGTAAATTCTGATTTTAGGAATTTTTAAACATACTCAATCATTTTAATAATTCAGAAACTACTCATTCGAATTATTTTGAATGTGGTATGTGGTACATCAAAATGTTCAAAATCCACTAATTAATTTACAGTAAAATAGGAGGGTTATTCTCATTTGAAAAACAAAAGTTTGTATCACCTGATCACCACAGGACACTTCTTGAATAGTACAACACAATTTAAAAGTCTGAAAATATGGTCTTAAAGTATATTTAAAAATTAAAAAATCAGATTTTGAATAACTGCATATTTGAAGATGAAAAAGGGAGTGATCATAGGCATTTAGTGAATTACCTTGTATAGAGAGAAGCCTATGTATTATACATTAAATAAATAGGTAACAAGAAAATGTTTAGTCTGTAGGCACTAAGATAGATCTACAGCTATCTAATATTACATAGGCACCTAGGTATCCTACATTTCTTCATTTTTATAGGCATATTATGCATTTTTACCCACATAAGAGCCATCTGATATAAAATTCTTTTGTACATCATTCTGCTGTTATTTCAATGTTTTTCTGTCATACACTCATACCTGCACCTTCAGTCTAATCTTCGATACAAGTCGAAGTGTTCAAAAATTACTTATTTCTGTCCAGCAGACAAAAAATATTTTTGTTTCAGACCGGCGGCCGGTAAAGTGGAAATCCCAGACATGAGAAACCTTGACACCTTGTATTACATTTTTGAGCCTTTTGAGTTTTGACCCAACCAACATTTTTCCAACAATATTTATAGAAGAAAAAATACAAAATTAAAGTATCTATGAATTGCCCAAAAAGAGTCAAAATATTTTGAAAATGTTACTATGCATATAATATGATAAAATAACATATTGTAAAATGTAAAATTAAACAATTAGAACATTTTTTTAAAACTATTTTCAATATCTTTTTTATTGTTACAGGTATGCACAACCTATGATAAATCTTAAAGTACATTTTTTAACTTTTTTATCAATGTTTAAAAAAATACAGCTAAAACAAAATTTAAAAAATTTCAATTGTCTATTTATAGTTCAAAAAGAGCCGAAACATTTTGAATATATTTTTTCTTGTACGGAACATGATAAATAAACATTTGGTGAAAGTTTAAAGTATCTACAGTTATTTGTTTTTGAGTTACCACAAAATAAAACAAATTAATTTTGATTTTAGAAGTGAAATGTTTGATTTTTTTTACTTGATTATTTTGAATAATACTTGGAATTTTTCATTTTGATCTTCCAGAAGTACCAATTAAATTCACTTTCCTACAAGAAAATATATTGAAGTTAAAATCAATGTACTTTATTTACTAGAAACCATATACAACGTGTATAATAAGATATATTCAGTTCTAAAAAAATTTAAAAATTTCAAAACTGATGAATTTATATGAAGTTGAATTTTTTTTTCATAAGACTATAATTAATTAAGTCTTAGGTTATTAGAATTATACGTTTTATAAATAAATAAATTATAGGAATTAGGAAGCTATCAATATCAAGATAAATTTAATTTTGAAATTATTTTTATTATGAAATGGTAGTGTGTATAACCATAGAACTATTAAATAATATTAAATTAAAAACTTAAAAATAGAAAATAAAAACGCATATAATATAAATTTTAACAATTTTCTTAAGTTTAAAATATTTTTATTGAATTATATTTCATTATTATTATATTATTTATCTACTTATGAATTCCCAGTTAAAATACCTCTGGCAACTTTGTTGAAATTCCTGCAAAAAAATATTTTAAATTATATGTTTTGTATTACATATTTTAAATACAAGTTTCTAGTAAAAATGTTTGATTAAAACAAGTTAAAAATATAAACTAATACATATTAAACAAGATGTTTTTTTCAATATTAAATATTCATCTAGTATCTAAAAACAATAATAACACTCTTGAAAACATTTTTTTTACAAACAAATTTAAATTAATCATGAAAATTAAATTTACAATAATAATACAAAATTATTGAAAAAATAATTATATTTTTTATAACTTCATTACTTATATAATTATTATTTCTAAGTTTCTTAGTTTCTGCATAATTTTTTTATTTCATACTTTTCGGCAGGAAATTTTTTTGAGAATTTAGATGTGTAAAAATCTAATTTTTAATGTTTTTGATTACAGTTGATTATTTAAAGTTTAGATGATTGGTGTGAAGTGGTAATTTTGATGAGTACCTTTACACTCAGCAAAATTGAGGTCAATTTTCAAAATTGAGGTCAATTTTCAAAATTGTTGTAATATAAATATTTTTAAAAAGCTTGAATCATCCAGTGTAATTATATTTTATTAATACTTACTCAGATGTAATATAATCTCCAGGAATATAAAACGGATTACACATTAAATCGGTATAAGCTGTATGCAATTTTCGGAACATCTAAAAATTACATAATATATAGTCAACTTAAAAATATAATAAAATAATGAGTTAACATTTAGTAATTATTTAATAGAATAACATATGAAATAATCTAGAAAACTATTATTAACTTACAAAACGTATTTCATTATCTCTTAATAACAAGTTGCTAGAATCTATCACAACAAAAAATTTTACTTTAGTATTTGTAACATATCCATATCTAATGATTAAATGTTAAAGAAAATTGACAATTAGAATAATATACAAAAAAATATCTGGATAATAGACATCTTTTTAATTGTTTTATTAAATAAACATAAGTTTAATTTATTATCACTATATATTGTTTTTTCCTTCTATGTTTGTCATAAGTCGATATAGTATAATTGCATATTTGTGTAATTGATAATTGTCGAGGTGTCATAGTTATCGACTAAAAACTAAATAAAGTTTTAATTTTGATATTAATTTGTAGATACAGGTAAATATAAATTAAAATATATTTATATAATTAATTATTCAAAAATAGATACTATTTATTGAGCAATCCAACTTAAATTAACTTGATAGCCCATGACATTTTCTAATATATTTAAAAAATTGATTCTAAAATTATATCAATTACACATTAATATAGTTAAATAATTGTTATGTCTTTAGTACAAATATGTTTAAGACCCCCATGCAAATTTTTATTTATTTTTTGAAATTCTGTTTAAGGCTCTGAACCTGAAAGTGTTTTAAAATGTTGTTGCTTTTTTACACCCGTAGATGTACCAACAAATTAGTGTTTTATAATTTTGTTTTAAATTATTTACTGTGTAGTAAGTAAAATTAAAAAAAAACATTTGCCCTGAGAGGAAGTGGGTGAATTAAAATGCACCTACCACTATTTACTAACCAATGCAATGCTCAGCTAAAAATAATTTAATTATGTAAGAATATTTTAAATAGTAATTCCAATAAAATTAAAATTTAATTGATCTAAAATATTTTTAAATTTTTTATTGAGGATACCAAGATTTTTGATAAAAATCAAAACCTCCAATGTAAAAGAATAAACTATTTTTTCTAACACTTTTATATTCAGTGCTTAAAGTTTGGAAACAACTTAAAAATGAGCATTTAAATTAAACTATATTTGTGCCTAAGTTCTTTTGACAAAAGATTTGAAAAAGAAAAGGATACATTTTATGATCTTCAGTAGAATACAATAGTCCCAAATACAGATCTCGCATATCCTTTTTACCAGTTTTCAATTTTTCTTCCACGAAGTCAATTGATGAATGTATTTCATATTGAATTTGTAGTTCGTGTTCTGGGTTCAATGAAGTTACATATTTTGGAGCATTCTGAAATGAAACATAATTTATATCTAAGTCTCATCAATTAGGCTATAGATATATTTTTTAATTTACTATTGATACCAGTTTTGTTTTCTTAATTTTAACCTACCCAAGGTATTTTGTTCTAGAATAGGATAGATATGTAATCAATAAAACATTACTTTTAATAACGGAATTTAGTTACCATGAACAAAGAAATCAATTGTGTAATTTTATAAAACACAAAATCTGTAATGCATCATTTATCATTTGCTTACCTCTTTGCTAACTACCGCTACGCACAGTGCCATAATTGATCATAAATAAAAATACACAAGTAAGTTTCTATAAGTAAGTAAGTGCATAAGCCAATGAAAGCCAATTATTTTTATGATATATTTTCACAGGCTAAGATTGAATATGAATCAAATGACTCGAAAAACTTAAACGTATACCCAAAAGTTAAAATTTCGGAAATATATTATTTACTATTTACTCCTCCATAATCTCTGCACAGAACACATTAAATTTCAAATTGCTCAATTGCTCTATTTATTTATTTTGTGATTCCTTTGCTACGCTCATTGCCCAATTTACGTCATTCAGAATTTACACTTTACGTTTACAGTAAAGTTTATTGTTTGACGTTTGTGGTCTAGCACCCTTATCTTATTAGTTTTATCATTTATCACAGAACAAATATCACGAACTAAAAAGATAATATATTTTATATCCATAGAAATATAATAATATTCTGAATTTATTTATTTTATGTAATTAATATAGACATAACGAAATATAATATAATAATATATTATTATATTTATATTTAAATTTATTATAGTACGATTATGATGGGTATAAATAAATAATAACAATAGATACCTATTAGAAATTATTGTAAAATTATCGACAATAAGTCGAAAGAGTTATGTGTTTATTGTTCCAGGGGAATTTTCGCGCGGGCGCAATCTCTTGTTTTTGTTTTGATAAAATGTACCTATTATAGTATTATTATTAATTATTATGTTTCATTACGGGTTGTAGTAATTATTATTTGTTGTCTTCGGAATTCCGATTCTGGAAAGTGGAAACTGAATGTCCGATGTCTGAATTCAGTGGACATTAAATCGTGTTTGGTACGCGGAGTAGCAATATGTTGCTAAACTAATCGTCTCGTTGTTTCGCGGGAACGGAAACACAAACAGAATGAAGACCAAAACTCGACGACACACGTATCATACTTTCGCTTCCATCGTACGAAAATGCATGGTCAAGTCTTAAATATAATAGTTACTCGGTCCAATAAAATAACACAGACATAATATAAACTCCAAGTTTCGAGTTTATTGTGAGTATATTATGCTAAATAAATGATTTTTAAATATAAACGTAATATAGCCCATAGGCACATTAACTGAAATAGACACTTATTGCTGCTATGTGTCTATGTGTGTCGTTTAACACTATTGCTGGTGTAATAAACATTTTGCTTTGGTGTAGTAATTGGATCACAAGCTCTTTACTTTGACCAAACGTGTACGTTTATTAATACAAACAAAAAAGAAATGTTTTAATAAATACTACCTATATTTACATTAAAATTAATATACAAAGTAAATAGTCTTCACTAATAATCTTCTGATGGTTGTTTGACCCAAAATCCGTGCGCTGCATACGATTCATCATTTTCGTTTATGTCAGGTCCCCTATAGACTTTAATTTGAACTCTCCCCGGTTCATCTAATAAATTAATAAAACGATTTTACTGATAAATCACTTATACTAATTTTTTTTCCATAAGAATTTGTTAGTGAAATATATTTTAAACATGCTCAATAAGTGTAGGTGCATGGAATACAAAATTATTGGGCTTTTGTGAGTAAGAAACCAGTAATAGAGATAAAAATTAATAATATTGAATTGTATTGGTACATTTTCACATTTTATGCATGTTTAAATTGGTACTTACATACTTTATATTTATTGGTGCTATAAATTATTTTGTTCTACTAGGCATGCAGTGTTAAGAAAGACTGCATTCCCAGTATTATATATTCATATTTTTGTATTAAACATTTGATATTCAAACTAAACAGATCCTTGGGATATATTTCTAATTTCTATTTTATGCATATTGCATATACATCAGTACAAGACTACCTATATTTTTTTAATGTATGTAAATGTATACAATTTCACTCATCACATTGCTGCCGATTATTTGAATTAAACATTTTTATGAAAATTGTGAAGATAGTACTTAATAATACAATATAACATTTCTGAATCTTAATTCATTAAAAAAATTTGAATGATCAAATAAACAAAATATAGAATATTTTCCTCTAAATCTAGATTAAATCAAATACTATTTTTTTTAAGCATGTTGACTATGTACATATTTTTATACATAGAAATTACTGCTGTATAGTCACACCTATGAACAGGTTAACTCAAAATCATTGTCACCTCAAGCTTTTTCCGGGTCACTAGGAATTTCATATTATTGTATATTACTCTTATTCAGACTTTTTTATCAGTCCCTTCAACTTCGAATTAACCAACACAATCTATTGAACCATACTTACCAATGATTAAGTAACTTCAAGCTACACATACAAAATAATAAACAATTCATTTAAAATGTTTATTTGACACCAAATGGCTTCGACTATGTTGCTGAACAATACTTAGTAATCCAATTAGGGTCAGAACACAGTCAACATCTTAATAAATAAATAAGTATAATATTATTGTAATTATAGATGTATTACATTTTTGTATCGAACCCATTGAATCTTCATCAAAGTATTTATGATTGCTGTAAATCGGCTCATCTTCTGTATCTTCAATGCTTTGTGGTGGTGTATAATCATTTTCCCCAAAACTTTTTGTGATTGATACAATAAAAATAATAAAGAAAAAAACCTGTTACAACATATAAAAATATAATTAACCATTTTATACTCTATTAGCGTTAAACTTTATTTTATTGATGCTAATTGACACTAGTAAAAAAAGTTTAAGTGATTAAATTTGTTTAGTGATTTAACAACATTAAATAAATTAAAATATTTAATATTTACCTTTTTAATGCCCATCTTAATTTATCCTATCTAAATGCTTAGTACTCGATTACTAAAGTCTATAGTTACAATGAAGTCAAGTTAAAAAAGGAAATTGCTCGGTATGACTTAGATTCAATGTTTATTAAACCACGAAAACCACAGATGTTATATAGTATTCTGCATACCTACCAAAACATAATGGATATTTAGGAACTAATAGAAATTGCAAGTCAAGCATTGTTTTTTATTGTACTTTCCTTTTATACGCTTCATTAATATAATATATTTTTTTAAACAATTTTATCTATATTATACCCAATATTCATATTTTTTCTGACACACATAGAATTACTTCATAATGTGTTTGTTAGGTTGAAACGTGTTATACATGAGGAACTTATGATTAATGACATTGAAAGATAACAATAGGGTACATGAATAGATTAATCCTTTTATTTTTCCGAGAATATGAATATTTTGAAAAATTAATAGTTGGTACATAAGTGTAAATAAAATAATACTTACAATCTGAGTTAATAATTAATAATATGCTTAAATTTATAGTGAAAATGTCAAATGTCAAAAATTAGTAATTATTTATGGTCAAAATGTTTTTGGTTGTAGTTCCTTATAAAAAATACAATACATTTTAAAAGAAAATTATGAGGTTGTACGTAATCAAAACATAATCCTTGTTTACTCATTTTATTCTTTATTTGTGTATAAAACATAATTTGAAAATTATGTTGTATTCAGTATATCATACATCAAAATTGGCCATGCTTTATATTTATGCAGCATCTATGGCATTTTGTTTTTAATACATTAATATGTTGAAAAAACCAATTTATTAGTATTTATTGGGCACAGATAATATAATGTAATTATTTATTTAAAATAAGTTAGAAACATTAGAGCATGATTTGTCAATGTGAAGTAATTATGTTAAATAATATTTTGACAAAACATAAAAAATGCACTTTTGTAATACCTACTTAAGTAAATCAATTTAGGTTTTCAAATTTAATAAATACACAGTAATAATAGTAATAAAATACTTAGTGAAAATTAATATATTTTTTTTTAGTTATACAAAAATCTGACATTATTTTTGATTTAAATATGCATTTTAAATGAACACAACTCTAAATACAAAATATGTTATAAAATTACCAAGAAAATTATAAAATGTAATTTACTTTTGGATACGATTTGAAATTTAATACTCTGTTGAAATTTTTTACTTACCTTTATGGTTAACAAAAGAAAAGACAGAGCCGTGTGTAATACGAACAATAGTATAATGTTGTTATTTCATAATATTTATTATTTGTATAAATATTGAAGACTAACTTGTTGTAATTATTGACTTAAATATTTCTGTGTTAGATTACTTCTCGTATTTTATATTATCTTTATATTTTTGATAATATTCTTGCTTAAAAGAAAACCAGACGTTTATTTTTATCATATCCTGTATTTATATAGTTGGTGTTGAGTTTTCTAAATGTATTGGATAAGTACTAATTAGATAATATACACTACTGTTATAAATCATTATTATTATTTATGTACACACATATAAATTATCAAAAGAGGTTATCTACGTTTATTTTCTTATATGATTCGCAATTGCGTTATAATAAAAACAGTAATAAAGTAGGTATACATCTTTTTTCATTATTATTCATATTTAAATTGAATATATGAAGTAAACCTATTAAATTATATTATTAGTTATTGACTAATGTTTAGAAATATTGTATTTAATTAATAATGGTTTTATAATTTTAGTCTTGCCATTAAGAATGATTCTCATAACAAATTTAATATTAAAAAAGAAAACAGTATGGATATTTGAAAGCAGATAGATATGGTATATTCTATAAAAAAAGCAAAATGGGTGGTACGTCTACCAAATTCAAAAAACATCTACAGCGAGGGGATGAATACGCTGCTATGCGGGTAAATATTAAACATTTTATGAAACAAAACACTGGTAAGTACCTACAATATTTTAACTATTTTATTTTGTAGTTGTATTCAAACTCTCCGGAACTTAAAACTCTAGACCCCAATTGGAGCTATGGAGATAGTCATAACCATAATACTCTTTTATATTATGCAGCAAAACATGGAATGAAACACTTACTTAGGTAAATTATTGCTGTATTCATTTAATTATTGTTTATGTAATAATAAATATTTATTAATGAATTATAGGGCATTCTTAAATGAGCATAATGGAAATCCAAATAAAAAGAATAACTCTAATGAAACAGCACTTCATGCAGTTTGTTCTCTTTCTCCACAAAGCCCCTACTCTGCACAGGAACGACGTGCTGCCTGTGTAACAATATTATTAAACTGGCAAGGGGTAGAATTATCAGATGGAAGGAGAGAGAAAATACGACTGAGTGTTCAAAATAATGTAATTCAACCAAAAATAAATATAATTTTCTTAAAATATATTAAAATGGTCATAACTTTAATAGGATGGAAACACTGCATTGCATCTGGCAGCGGCTTCGGGTTTACAGTACTGTGTTGATTTGATGCTTTCACATGGAGGAGCCCCAATATTCAAGA